AGCTAGCTGAATTTCAGACTTAAGCATCGGCCGCTGGCCATGACAAGGCATCACCCTACAACAGGGAATTTGGCGGCCTCAAGCAAAGCTCCCTGGTTCAGAGCACTAAGTGCATTGTAGCCTACAAACAGTGCTGGAAATAAACCCAAAGGTTCAGAAAAATCCTATTGCAAAGGCAACAGCCCTGAATTATCTTGGAATTTAAAAACAGATTTCAAATCCAGCTCTCAGCCCTCACTGAGCATGGTCTTGCAACCCCTCCGCAGGTCTCTGCACCTTCCCATCCCATGGATTCTCGTCAGGAGGGGCTGGATTTCACGATGCCCCGGAGAAACTGGCGGCAGCCGCTCCACCATCAGCGTGACTCAGCATGACCCACCGCTGCCAAGCTGGTCGCATCCAGCTGGGGTTTGTTTTTTTGCTCTGCTAGTTTTAACTTGAAGGCATTGCTTCAGACTCCAGAACTGACCCCAGGAGATGTCGATCTCACCCCAGTCTATTGCTGGGATGCCTTCGAAGCAGGGGGTATAATTTAAACACGCAGCAGCGTCATCTCGTCAGAAAGGTAATCGGGGATAAGTGCTCCTGTAAAGCAATAAACTATCAGCCTGGCATGTGCAGGACCAAAGCACGTGGTGCTGTGTTGTTGGGAACTAACCCTGAGTATCTCCACCCTTACTGAGGATCCAGTTGCTTTCACATGAGAATGGATACACACCAATTTTTATTTTTCCATTGATCATCTGAGCCACTCTAGGGGGGTTCAAAAGCTCATACCGTACCGCAGAGCGGGCGGTAAGTGTATGTTGTGCCCACCGCACGCACGCTGCGGTTTGCGTCACCACCAGCACAGCCAGGTCCGCAGGCTTGCACCTTCCATTAAAGCTGTGGGCACAAACAGGACAAACAGCCCAAGGAGTAACCAAAACCAGCATCTCCTGTGTGGCAATGCAAGAGGCACAGCACTGAAAACAGGTTCAGCTCTGTTTCATCCAGGATAAGTTTATCATGGCGTGAACGATGATGATTTGCTATGAGCTATGCAGTCCTTACCCCCCGGCTCCTGCCACCTATCTGAAGCCAGCAAGCTCCTCCAGGAGCCTCACCCCCCTGTTGTTAACCAGCCAAGAAATACTTCTCCACCTACTTAGATTAATCCTCATTGCATAAGGCAAGAGTGCACTGACAACCGCAAGCGTCCTGGTAGTCCTGGTTTCAGCTTGGGCTTAAGAAGCAGCACCGAAAGTCACAGCTTCAGGTTCATCAGGTTACTTGCTGTTTATGGACCAGCACCATCTTTATGGATGCTGTTTGGGGGGAAAGCACCCAGCCTTCCTGCTGCCAGAAGCACAGGAATAGTCCAGGGTCATTTTCTACCTAGAACTCTTGTACTAACAAGAGTCAGGTCTCTAGTTCTGCGTATTCTTGCAAAGGGTCACTGATTTGACATGCCACTGTACAAACAAGCTCAGATATAATTTGCCTTTGTTTTTTTTTTTTTTTCCCCTGAACATGGCATGCTTTCTCAAAGTTCAGCCTGCACATTCATGTGACAGACAACCACCTTGGTCTCCCTGCAGTTAACAAAAGACACAGAGAACACGATATGCTTTTACCAGGCAATAAGCAGCATTTCTTCAGCAACTGGGTCAGATCCTGCTGGCCGGAGAAGGCTTCGCTATTGCAGGACCCATGCCATGCTCAAGCTCTGAACTTTTTTTGCTAGGCTGTTTTTCAGCTAGAGCAGCTTCCCAGACAAGCAACACACTTGGTATGGTACCCACCCGTGCCTGGGAAGGCCCATGGGAGGGGAGCATAGGGTCAGTCGAACAGGTTAGCCATGACTTTCCAGCACCCCAATGCTATCAGCTGAAATAATTCCTCCTCCTGGACCTGCATCAAGACAGGTGGATCCAGAACCTCCCACCACCAAACCCAAGCCAAGGCGAGCATCCCTAACCCCAAAGTCTAAATAAACCACAGTTAAACAGCTCAGAGGAGCTCATCTGCCCTGCCACCCACAGTCATACTTGTGTGCTTTCAAGACCTTAGTTACAAGCAGGGAAGCTCCAAAGTCTGCTTGCACCAGGCAGGTCACCCACAGTTGTCTGTCCCAGCTGGAGCCACTGAAACACTGGCTCCATCCCTCCCAACAAGCCCCATCGTACTTGTCCTCCTTTCCTTTCCACTCCCTCTCTGGCATCACAGATGTAGGCTAGATGTTTCTCCTACCCCTCACCCCAGGAGCTCCCATTCCAGTATGGGACCTCCCATACATGTTAGGAACCATGCACAACCACAGCAAAGTCAACTTACGGATGTCTTGTTGCACCAGCTTGGTTAGGAGAGGTTCAGGTTTTCATGGAGAAGGCCTGCAACATGGTTAGGGCTGAAGGAAGGACTTTTTGTCATTAGTGCGACTCCCATCCACTGAAGGGAGGTTCGAGCTCAGCACATGGCCAGTTTCTCATTGAGCTGTCTCACATCAGCAATGAGTTCCCAGGTGAGGACAACTGTTCTTCACATCCTGAAGGCAGCTACTTTACCTGCCTTGGGAAACCAGCTCCAGCAGCCTTGCAGAAAAGCCCCCAAATGGCTTAAGCAAGAAGAGAGAGGAGGCTCCAGGGGAGTCCTCCAGAAACTCCCCTCTGCTGCCATCACAAGAAGTCCTTGACATGCTGATCTCTCAAATTAATTTGGAGACTGATCAGGCTTGCCAGGACAGCTGTGTTTTCAGCAGCTACAAAACAAAACAAGCCTAAGCACTATGAGAAACACCATCGGCACACATCTAAAAACCTAGAGTGCAAGCCAGTGTTTTACTACAACCGCAGCATTAAGTGGATAAGACAGGCCAACGCGTAGTCAAGGCTGAAGCTGCAAGGGGGTCTTTACCATTAGAAGGAAGAGACACCAAGCAAGTCTCAATAATCACAAACCTCCAGCTGCAGCTTTAGTTGGCAAAACACAACCTGCAACACGTTTCCCCACTAAACAAATAGCGACTTTGCTGCAAAATACACGTGACTAGCAATGCTTTAAGTTACAGCAGGGGAATGGCAGCCAGGTGCTGTAAGAGGCTGCACGTGGACATGCGCATGATGGATTGACACCCCTCCTCATCACATCCCGGCACGTGTTGCCCCACAAGCACCAACAGCACCTCTGGGCATTTTCTATGCTGTCACACAGGCATATCTGAACTTCACAGAGGTCCACAGGGCACTATTTTATAAACTGCTTGCCTTGACTCACCTCATTAGGACACCACCATCCCAGCCTGCCCTACCCCAACCTCGTCAAGCTCAGGAACAGTGCAAGTGTCCGAAGCAAACAATTCCCCAAATTAAAACATTTTCAGTTTCTCTTTGAGAGGAAATGACTTGCTGGAACCAAAACATTTCATCTACAGCATGATCTAGCCAGGTGGCTGAAATGCTTCTTTCTGCAGCATCCACAACCCCCTACCTCCTCCACAGGTTCGGCTCAGCCGTGACCGATCCCAGTAATTATTATCCAGAAAGTCAGACTAAGGAAGGAGCCTTGCTGCTTTTCTGCAGGAGGAGAGTGGCACATTTCCCATGGTAAAGTGAAAGACAGCTGCTCTTACAAGCTTCATTAATATCTGCTTACTCCCACAACAAAAAAAAGACCCTTTTGGGGTCAGTCCTCACCTTTTCCCGTAGCAGACAGACAGCACAGGCACAAACCAGCAGCAGGTGCCCGTCGCAGGAGCAGCGCCCAAAGTCTGCAGCTCAGGATTTCACTCTGCCCCTGACACATGGAGTGACCTTGGCCGTGCTCCACCAGAGTTTTCTCGCAGCCAGCAACAGCCAGAGTATTTCATCTGTTTCCGAGCACTTCAAGGCAGTTTGCTGAGCGGGATTAGTCCCAGCGTGAGCCATTGCCCCAGTACTCTCCTAGCACAGGCGCTGCTGGACATGAAGCAACCAGGGAATTCACTGCCCGGTGAAATCAGCACTTTTACCTTCCTACAGAGCACCTCCCGCTCCGGGAAACCAGGCACAACTTTCGTTTTCTCCCTCTCCCTTTTCCCCGCAGAGGAAATGCCCTCTTAAAAAAAAAAAACGCCTGTAAAGTCCAGAGTGACGACATGCTGCTCTGACCGTGACTTGGCAGAAAATACCAGGCTTGTTTGTGAAAGGAGCCGGTGTAGAGGCACTCGGGGTGGGCGCAGACCCTGCGCCTTGGGAGGACCCACGATGCGGAGCAGCCCAAACCTACGAGCCAGGTCCAGCAGGCACAGACCCAGAGGGAAAACATGGAAAAAAGCAGAGAATATTTCCCTTGAATGCTTATCGCAGCACACTGGCAAGACCTCCAGTGCCTCAAAGCGAAGGCATTTCCTCTCCTCTCCTCTTTCTACTCTTTCAGGGAGCCCTGCATTGAAAAGAGGAGAAATTAGAGCATCTGCTTGCAGTCTTCCCCGACCGGACCACGGAGGATCTGTCAGTGCCAGCAATACAATATCAAGGGCGTTTGGCTTTTCCCAACCTTATTTTCTCTTTTTAAGCCGCCAGAACAGCATGCCGGCAGGGCAGAGGGAGGAAATACCCCTCGTGACGCTTCCTCCCGCTTCGGTGACGCCACGAAGTCTTCCCTCATGCG